CCCCGCCGCTCGCGTGGCTGTGCGCGCCGACACCGCTGTCCCAGCGTTCGGAAACCGGCACCGGCCTTCGCACCAGTGCACACACGCGTGCTCAAACACCTGCTTGTGTGCCTCCCTCCTCCTTTTTTGCAGTTACCGGGGCACACACACAAACGCTCGAGAGTCTGACGACAGTCAGAACATCACTGGCGAGCTCAGCGCGTGTTTGTGCTGTGCATCCCTGGAAGAGCGCACTGTAGGCTTGCACACGCGCCGGCTCTTTGTGTTTGTGCACATCTCCTTTGCCGAGGAACAGGCAGTTTTGGGGCCGAACAAACAGACCAGAGTCCACTGGCTGACGTTGCCCGTTGCCATGTTTGCACTAGATGACGATCTGCGCTCTAAGCTACATGTATAAAAGGTAACGTGGTTTATGTATAGTACATATCAAGCTATAATTAACTGTAGATGACAATTACAAATAAAACTATGCTCCTGGGTTTCCAAGAAACCAGAAAAATATATACACACACTTCTAATTTATACACAGAAATGTTTCCAAGAAAAGTAATGTAAAAATATGTTTTAGTGCATTTGCAATTAAAATAGGTTTTAGTAAAATCCATGTTCATCATGATGTTCATAGTTTTTACTGTAATCCTTTGAAAATCAAATCCCTCAAGATGGTCCAAGTTGGATGCCCATAAAAGTGACTCACCCAAATCATCCTAGCCATTTTTTAAAATCTCTTCTCATTTATGACTCCTTTTATACAGTTTCTCTCCAATTCCACAAAATTCCTGTCTGACTACTGCCTTACAGCTGGCAGGTCTGGCTGTCCACAGGGATCGAACCATCTGGGAACACGAGCCAGATAACACGTCATGTATGTGTGCGGAGAAAAGCCCCAAGAGCTTTAACAGAGCCTCACAACGGTCATTTTCAGCCCTGAGCCTGCCCAGCCACCCCTGGCAGATAAACACCTACCAAGAGCCTAACACGTGCTGAGAAGTGAAGAGAGCCTGCCTGCACTGGTAGGCTGCAGCAGCAACGCACACAACAAAACACTCAACAGGTCACAGAGAATTGTAGGTCTCCATAACTACACCAGCCACTGCAGTAAAGAAGGGAGGAAAATTTGGGATAGTCCCAGAGAAGTGTTTGTTGCCTATAAAGACTGAGATCACTCTACAGGAGGAAGAGTCTTTCTTCTGTATGTAACTATAGACATAATGTACGTTTCTAAGTACGAATATGCCCACGGACACATAGCTACATTAGGCTAAGCCTCTTTTAATTCCAACTCCCACCTCAAAATTGCCCTGTCTGGAAGCAACCTGTGAGCTAACTTAACATTCCAAAAGTTCAGGGGGCTGCTTCTAAGTCCCCTGGTGGGACCCCGAGCTTCTGAAGGGAATCTCTCAATGGTATCACAGCAGCATTCTATTTCTCACTACCCACCTTCCCAACAAATCTCTTTTTCTTTCCCTTGAAAACAAGGAAAACCAGAATGAAATCAAATTCAAAATGGCAACGCTTGCCTGCCTTTCAAATCTTGCTCTTAATAAGAGAGAAAACTTTAAAGCCCTACATCAAAGAGACACAAACTTTAGAGAAGTTGGGGTGTTTGTCTGGATCTGAACTTCACAGCTCTCTAGTCAGTGTATGACCTAGAGGATATATGAGAAAGGAGAACCGGTACCTAAACTTTACAGCCTACATTTTTTCCTCTGTTGGGTCAAATGCAAGAGACAGCTCAGAAGACCCTACAAGGTAAAAAGTGCAACTTCTTAACTAGTGCTTAGTGGCTTAAGTGGTCACCTCCGCAACTCAAATGCCACTACAGTTTAGGAGAGCTCAGACTTGGTTCTGTCCTTTCCTGTCTCCACTTTAAAAATATAAAATAAAATAAACCAAACCAAAATAAAATAAAATATATCAGTGGACCCCAATAAAGTGTTGGCATTTACTGTATGAAAAGCTCCAAATCCTACAGTTGCTTCAGAAAAATTTTCAGTTGAGTAAACAATTTTCTCTTCCTGCTACCTTGTAAAAGAACTCCTCTCTGCCCTCCATGAGCCCACCAGGAGGCATGAATTAGAGAGGAAAATAAACTTCAACTGGGGTTGAGGGTGAGAAGTGAAAACAGAAGGGGTAAGGAGAATCTCAACAATAGGAAAGTAACAGAATAAAGTGAATGCAGATGGTTCCACTCCTGTTACTTAATCAAAAGGCTGTGCAGAGTCACTAGAGCCAGCATAAAGTCATGTGTTAGAACAACAGCTGATCTGTATTAAAGAAGATTAACTCGCAATGCCATGGTGGAGGGCCTGGGATTATTTTATGTACTTCCATTGCTGAACAAGCCGTCAGCACAATTACTGCCCTCCGATGTGAATGACTGATCTGTAACCACAGCTAAACAGCATGCTGCTTAGGGGCCTGGGTGCTTCATGAAGATGAATTTCCATACCATCAAAGTGCTTTTAATGGGCTTCCTGATCCAACCACAAGGCCTGCTTTGCAAGTATATAGAACTCAGGATGAAGGCTTCCTGTCCAAAAGGATTTGGTCGGTTGTCACTTGACAATTCCCAGCCAGCACAAGGGAGGAGAGGGGGGAGATAGGTAGAGTTGTCTCTGCTTTGGAGGATTAAAAAAAAAAAAAAAAAAGAAAAAAGAAAAAAGAAAAAAAAAGGGTACAGATGCTTTCTGAATGCAACCAACTGCTGTATCCACAGCTGAATTCAATGCGCTTAACAAATAACGGCAATTTAGCTATGCTTGCGAGGAATAGCTTGAGTCACTTTGCATTAGCATCTGGCTGAGTGTTAAAGTCATTTCTACATGGGGAGCAGAGAAAAGAAATTTCTGCTCCGAGCATCCTTTCAAGAATGCTTAAATATTTGAATATAAATTCCTTTGTGCTTGTGATCACTTCTTCTTATATCTGACACTCTGCTTTTTCCCTTTTGCCTTCTGGTACTCTTCTATGTGAAATGCCACAAACATGCTCCATCCCTCTCTTTCTTTCTCTCTCCCCATACCAGCGCTCTTATTCTCTAGGAGAGATTGTATGTACTGCCAGATACCTATTACACTGACCTCTTTTTTCCTTCCCCTTCCTCTCAAGAAAGTGCACGAAATTGAAGTCATTTCTACATCACTTACACCCAGGATAGGCTGATGAAAGAAGCACAGTAGTGAGAGACTCACATGTACATTTAACATTCATTACCCAGACTACTGGCTTCTCACAGCTTATTGATCAAACTCCATCTAAAACCAGGGAAAATGGAAAGCTATCCAAATTAGCAATCTGCTCATTCTGGACAATATTGTTTGACTCCCAAGCTTCCTAGGATGACTGCCTTTCAAGTTTCTGCTAAATAGCTGATCGTTTTTATTCATTCTATTCATCTGCCCATCTCAGTGGTTCACGCGAGGCCTTACAGTGAAAAGCCACTAGAAGCGGTTTCAATAAAATTCAGTTTTCACCAAACGGTCATCTTTGTTGTCATTCATGATGAAGGCTGGATCGCCTCAGAAAAAATTGCATGGGAAGAGAGAAATTGAGGAAAAAGTCTTGCTGAGCGTATGATGTTGAGACGCCCACAAGAGTTTGGAGGTCTATCTTAGGTGGCAGTATTGTTGTAAGGACACCTCACTGTAAATGTGGCAGCAAGGACTGGCAGGTCTATTTATCCTCCATAAGCCAGGGCAGTGCACATAAAGACATCAGGCACTTCCAGAGAAAAGCAGCAGATCACCACCTCTTTGATATTCGCACCGGTTACAGCACGTACAAGTTTTACTAGAGAATAGTCACTTTGTTGATGTTTTGTTATGGCACAGCTTCACAGGCCAGTTCAAAAGCAGAAGGTAGTAAGGCCCATATGTTCTGCTGCCTCTAAGTTGCACTGCAAATATTTGGTGCAGTTTGTGTTGTCAATTCTCCATTTTTCCAATTTCCTTAAGTCATCTAATGTGACATGACAGTGCTACATTGCAATGGTCACAAAATATCATATATGACAACCTCACAAGGCTAAATACCCAGAAGCTGAGCCTGAGTATCAGCAAAGCTTATGTTCCTAAAGAAGCTTGAATATTTTCAAATCCAGCTCATCTCACAAACACATGTAAGCATTTCCATAAAGCAAGATTTCCACTTAGGCCTGGAGATTTCCAAGATCACCTTCTCATAATACACTTTGACAGGCTGGAACAGAGAATTAGTGGCCCTCAAAGTTCTCATGAGGGCCTTAGCTATCTCTGTCTCCTCCTCACTCTCCCCCAAGGATCTCCAGGTCTCTCTCTCATGTCATCTTTTGGTTGCAGTTTTCATTTTACTTTTCTCTTTTTTTTTTTGAAAGCCTCAACTATTCTGTTTAAAAATGAGGAGGAAGAATATAGAGAAAAAAAAGGAGGGGAAAAAAAGGAGGAAGAACCTATGTATCTGTAGGGAGAACCAAATGCAATCTGACCCTTTCCAAACGGAGACTCAGAATCTCACCTTTTCTGTCCTGCAGTTATTGAGACCCAGGCTATTCACAACGGCCACCTTCCCATCCAGCACCTGTTGTTCCCTCCGAAGTTGCTCCTTCATCTGTCGGGCCTCCTGGATTGCCTTGGTAACAGCATCGTGGTCATTTAAATAACCTGACGACGTGATAGAAGAAAGGATATCTTAAAAAAAGAAAGTTACAAGAAAACACTTTAGCTTTCGTTGATGAAATGCACCAATAGTTCATCATTATTAATGAGAAAGACTTAAAAGGTAATGCCTGTCCATGCTTTGTATGCATTCTGTTATCATTATGATAGAGCCACCTGGCTAGAAAGCACGAGAAACCTCCGCGCCAAAATCATCATCCTGATATTTGATCCCATTAGTTTCAATATTTCCCTGACACTGCAGAGGTTAGCCCTGTGGTTTGTATGCAGCAGGATGTAACCGGATAAGAGTTAGGCGAAGCTTTGATCATGCCAGCAATCCCAAACTCTTCAAAATAGACCATTTCATTCTTCCCCTTCTTAAAACTTGTGAATACATTAAAATAAACCACAGGTGGCGGTGGTTTGCTATAGATATGAAATGCATAATGGCTGGGAAGAGAAACCTCATCCACTGAATGCTCCCCACCACCACCTGTCATTCAGAAACGTGTAAGAAACCACAGCTACACGGACCTACGTTCCCGCTCCTATTCATGCTGCTAATAGTAGGTCAAATGTCCACTGTTTTGCTGCAAATTCACAGCCTAGGGCTTAGCCTTAGTAGTCACTGCATTATTTCCTTTTAAAATGTTACAAGCATCACCGGCACAGCTAATACTATTTAATTTAAATGTGACACTTTGCCATTTTTTTTTCCTTAAGCGTACTGTAGATTATACTTATTATGATCTGCATGTGATTTGTAGGATAGAATACTGATGGGAGACTCCGAGCCCCAGTCTATTTTTCAAACATTAAAGGAGAGGCTAATATCTATCCATCTCCCTCCCCCTCTCCACATCCCCACACGCGCGCACACGCACACACTTCTTTCTGTCTTTTAACTAGGGCATAAAAACGGCATAAAATGAATCTGTAATATGAAATTGCCCAGAAAAGGGACTTCTGTTTGTGACATGAGGCTAAATCTAACCAGATCCATTGGTGAATTGTGACAGATGGAGGGACTGTGAGACAGAAGGCAGGCACTAATCACACACAAAATGACCGGCTTGCCTCAACATGTTCCATGGATTCCAGCAAACTTTACACCCTAATCCATTTTTAGAACAAAAAACATCTGGGCCATAAATCCTCTAATCTGCCAAAACACGCTATTAAATCCCATGATTTGTTGAAAAACACTAAGATTAAAGAAAGGAAATATAAAATGGCTAACTGCCGTGTTAGGAAAGTGTTATTAATACTCTTTCTTTGTCTCAATTATGAATGTTCTGTTCCTAAAGAGCCTTGTCTAATCATGTCAGATTACACATCCTTGTTGTATTGCTAGACTCTTCTATCTGATCCGCTGATTGCCAAAAAACATAGGACATTGTCTTGCTGCTTAAAACATTTCAGGGGAAGAAGCTGATGTCAGATTAGTTCAGTGCTGCGTTGCTGTCAGGATTTTAGTTTGGTTTGGGTTTTTATTGTTGCTTTTTTAGACCGCAGACAGAACGGGACTGGTATTCCCGTCTTCCTTGGTGCACAAAAACTAGAAAGAAAAGTTTTTGTGCGGCTTAACCGTTGTTAATTGTACTAACACAGTTAGCTTTTGGCTAAATACCCAGGAACCCTGAGAGTTTTCTGTGAAATAACTTGATCCACGTTGCTTTTATCAAATGACTCAGTTCAGTAATTCCCAGCCAATAGAATTCCAGCTTTCCCAGCACAAGGAAGGAAATAATCTTCACCAGCACAGTGCTACCAGCTGATTTTTTTTTTTTTTAACCTCCATTTTATCAACTTGCTTGGTTTCTTCCCCACTTTGCATCTGTTACTGATCAAGCTTGCATGTAGTCAGAATAAATTAAAAAGGAAGCAAGCAAGCAAACAAACAAACAGTAGTATTACTGCTGGTTGTGCTCTTGATTAGGCTAGGTATAATGCTTTCAATCTGTAATACAGCTGAATTTGCCTCGGAACTGGAATTCATGCCCTTCTCCAGACTATTTGGCTTTTCCTGAACACTGCTATCTTTGAGACAGTTTGGCACATGACAGTGAATAAAAGCAAGCACTCCTTATGTTTTTCAGTAGCTGCCAAGATGCTGGTGTGCAGGGAAATGATTAATATAGAAGCGAGTTGAATGTAAATTATTGTTGTTTAGGGTAGGTGGTGAATTATTGACAGAGAGGGGAATGGCATTACATAAAATGCACTTAGTTACAAGGATTGCCAAACTAGCAGAGAGATGTTGCAGATAACGGCAAAGGGCAGAGAGAAGTTGTTTCTGTTTTTAGTACACGGACATATGCGCGTTCCCAAAAAGAAACGCCGGGATTTAAAGTCATGCACGAAGCCACGACATTTGCGACTGCTCAGTCTGTAGCATAATTTATACGCTAAGGATAGCGCTAGGAAAGGACAACATATCTGTATGCCCAAATGCAGCCTCGCTGTTAATCCTAGGAGGCTCCAAGTCTACGTCCTCCAAAGACAACTGAAAACCACATGAGCATTTCTCCATGCCATGGGAACCAAGTAGCCTGAAGAACTGCTTTCAGAGAAGGGTTTTAATTTGAAATTAGTGGCAGTGAAAAGTGACAGCTCAATGGCAGCCCAGTAAGGTGGGCTGTGCACACCCAGGACAGTCAAGTTGTGCCTTGCATTGACAGCTCCAATCACTGAAATGGTGGAAGTAACTGGCAAATGACTGCATGTTTCCGAGTGATTTTTGTAGAGGGATTCATCTCTCAAGATAAAAAAGTGATCCAGTTTCTCTACCATTTTTAGGGACCTTAGTACCTTAGCTAAAAATGCTATCGAATTTTTTTGTGGCGTAGCTCCTACTGGAGGGTGACTTGAAATTTCACACTCACTTCTTTAAGATCACCAAATGGTTTCAACATGGTAATGAGTTTTACTTGCTGTAACTGGGGTTGGATCTGACCTAGCACTTAGTAGGAAAAGACTCTATGGAGCGTTCACAAGCTCTAGTGAGCGTTCACAATTCTAGTCCTCCATTAAAGGATAAAGCTTTGTTAGAAGAAGGCTGTATCTGTCCAGCTCCTGCACCAGTTAAAGACTGCTTATTTTATATATACAGTATGCACAGTGATACTACTCAGCAACCTCAAAAAGTCACTTTCTATATTTGTAGCTGAGAGATATACAGCAGTGAACTCTATGTCATTAACAATAACTTAAGTATGTTATCTTTTGCTCCACAGTTTTCCATGGTTTATTAATGGTATAACACATTAATTCTTCTTACAAGAGTGACCTTTAAAGCTCCATTCATCCTCACAGCTTTTATCCAATTACATTATCACTCATTACAGGTACAGCATTTCAAAATCTGCATTTTGTTAAAAGAAGTAAATTGCAGGCATCTCAAACCTATTAAAAATATCAGGTGCAGGGAAAGAAGACTGGAGAGGAGAGAACGAGAGATGTCCTAGCCACTGAGATGCAGGTCAGACGCTTAACTCTACATCTAATGTGATGCTCACTCTATTAAGGACAAAAAATTTAGTGTGAAAAAATTGAAACTCGATGCATTGTACAAGGAGAGCAGTAGGGCCAAACAAATTAAATATGAAATACATTATTACCTACCACAGTTAAAGAGTGTAGGGTTAATAATAATACATGAATTAACAATGTGATATTTCCAAAATATTTATATAATTGTAGCAAGTCACATCAAATAAAGTTATTTTCTTTCCCAAAAGGCAAAGAAGCATATTCTCTGCCTGATACACGCAACTCTCATCAACATTAGCAATAATCATGTATGCACTGTAGGAGCTAGATCTGTTTCCATCTTTGGACATAACTATGGGTCTTCCTGGTGTCTGTGTAGGTCGAATATGGACTACAATAAGCTTGGGAGAGGCTCACAGAGACACAAGATTTTACTGCACAGCACTGAGATATCACAGAAACAGCTTCTGATAGCTTTGACTGATGGCTTCTTTTGTTATTTGTGCCATCCCTGAAAGTGGCCAGCAGGAGATGCTTCAGGAGCAATAAGACACAGGAGCAAAGCTACAACTATCTACCTCTCTTAATTCAGGTTATATTCAATCACTTTTTGGAATAAAATGTTTCAGTTACAAGGATGAAGAATGGCGTGTGTAAACATTTTACTTAAACACACAAAGAGCAGTCCCTTTAACACATCAGACTTGTAAAATCACCACTAGCACTGTTATTATTTAGATGTTATTATTTAGATTCAGGCAAAGAGGCAATTTTGGCAGGAGAAAGAATTAACACTGTTTTCTGGAACAATGTTAAAAACAACCAGTCAAGACTTTTTGCAAGATACAACATCAAACTTGTTTTTTTGAAGGAACCTAGTGATTGTTTTTCTTATTAGACCAAGGTAAATTAATGCACCATGCAGCTTTTTGGCAGACTAAGGATTAAACCTGTAATTTTGCAGAGACCTATTTGCATATGTAGACTTTTACCTTAAAGAGAATTTTTTTCAAGTTTATCCATCACTTTTAGATGACATAATACAATATCACAGGTCTTTAACACCCGCCATTAGAAAGGCCGCTGTCTAACGCATGCCATTAAACAAACAGCATTTATTAACTTTTATTGATAAAGCAATATCTGAAATAACACAGGTCTTTGTCTTCTGAGTCTGTAAAAGTTAAGATACTCCTCCTGAAATGGTAAGTCCGTGGGAGTTTCTTCACTGACATCAACAAATGTAGTATTATGGTCAGCCTGTGACAGCTCATAGACCGCTGTCTGGCCCTGGCTGATAAATGCCCGCTTTCCATTAACATCTATTAATCGTCATGAGGAGACACAAATGAAACTGAGCTTACCTATTGCGTTAGCTCTGGCCGCAGGACTAGCTAATGTTGCTGGCACGGAGGACTTTAGTGAACTGGTCCCACTGTTTATTCTCAGAGTTGGCATATGAGGAGAGGTGGGTGATGTCGGAGACTTGCCATCAGATGTCTTGGGTTTGGCTGAAAGGTTCAGAGGCTGGGCCACTTCATCCTATGATGAGCAGAAGAGAAAAGAATGTTATTAAAAAACTGCTGTTGGCACAACACCGTCCAAGCAAAGACAGTTGTTTTCAGCTTGTATGAACTTCCCAACCCGAAAGGTTGTGTGATATACATTAAGATCAAATATGATATCATCTTGTCATTCCAGTTTGGAAATGAACTGACTGATAAACTGGAAAGTTAGCATGACATGATCAGAGAACATCTCCATGTGCACCTTGTATGTAAGAATTGTCTCTGAAGAAATCATTCACGTTAAAAAGATATATGCTTCTATGGTGAAAATGAAGAGCAATTTTACAGTTACACTTTTCTTAAATTTTATTTTAAACTTGATATGGATGAATTAAATAAGAACTGAAGAGCATTTTCACTTAAAATTCAACCACCACTACCCAAATTGGGAAAACGTGTTTGAGTGAATGGGTTTTCATTTGGGTTTTTTGTGGTTTTTTTTGTTGGTCTTTTGTTTTTCTTTTTTTTTTTTTTTTTTTTAGCTTGTGCTTTCCTCTGAACTTTGTAGGCTTAGCATTCCAAGCACAAAATTATCATAGGAAATAAATACTTCTCTTCCATCACAACAAGAGAGCAGGAAGAATTGCCCTTTCTTTCCACAAAATTTGAAACAACCTGGATAATTTTGCATAAGCCCTTACATTTTTCCATCTTCTGCAGATTTCAGTAATTATTATTATGTGCAAATAGAGAAATTGGGTAACGTTTTTTGCAGGATAACTAGAAGTATTCCTAAACCTGGTTTGATTATGCAGAGTAATAGACAGTGCTATAAACCACGTTAAAATTCTAAGTCGCATATTTTTGTTTGACCAAAATAAAATACAATAAGGGAAAAAAAAATCAGGGAAGGAAGAAAAAGCTTTTAAACAATGGGGATATTTTAGAACTGATTTTAACTGACTTTTAAATAACCAGAACTAATGGATATGGTATTAGATGCAACCACCACATATTATCTTAGCTCTCCTCTGACACTGTGAATTAGGAAAGCCATCCTTTAGCTACTGGAAGTGTTACATCACACAACTGTGTTTCAGCTCCAGGCACTGAAGAAGCTGATTCTGATCTCCCTAAGTTGTAAGTACATCCAGTTTTACAGAATTATTCCTGACTTACAGCAATGCAAAGCTAACCTGGAATTAGACTCATAATGTTTGAGTGTTTTACTGTTACCACTAAGGTATCTGTAACTACTATCATATAATACTGATTCTTTTCCACAGAGGGTGGTGTGCTGCAGTAAAGAAGGAATTTTATAGTTGCCTATCGCTTGTGGAAGTATGATGTAGATGTATGTGTCAAACACAGGACAATTCCGCAAAGCACTGTCATATAACTTTTCCATTACCTTAAAGAAGCAAGCTCTGAGCAAAGCACTTTTGTTATACTTGATTATTTCTACACTTTGGTAATAGTCATAGTCAAAACCAAATTAAAGCTTAGCAGAGAAACATATCAGGGACACCGTGGACAAAGCAGTCATTCTTCAAGTGGTATTTAAGCCGTCTTAGATGTAACTTGGGAATAAAATAAAGGAGAAAAAAATCAATGCATAAAATTGCCTTAGGAACCTATATTCTGTATTCTCAGAAGTGACCTGGGCACCTAGAAGGCAGAGCTCTGTTGATCTTCTGAGACTTAAGCCTTGGGGTTAAAAATACATTCAACCAGCATTCGACGTTTTAAGAAGGTATTCATTACTTTACAGAAATACAAATCCATCTGCATTAGAATAAAATAGATTAACCTACTAGTCAAATGGAAGTGGACTTGCTCTGCTGTTCCACTGATTTCAATTTTTTTTAAAAAAAAGAATCCCACAACAGTGGAACTATCATGTTGTAAAATCAGTAATGAGACAGTCACATAAAAGCCTAAGTAGAAACTAGCCAATGAACCAAGTGAACACAGCAACCCTGTGCCAGACAAGGATCCCTGAAGAGCAAAATCATCGATTTGGAAGACAGCATCAGAAGCAAAGCAAACCTGCCCACAGACTTGTTTCGGTTCAATCCCAGAGGGTTTAGTTTCCATATATATTCAATTCTTAACCTCTGTTGTAAGCCCCAACAAAAGGCACTGATTAGTTTCAGATACGGCAGTAAAAGCTGCAGCGTGCTCTCTGGCCACTGGAAATCTGACTGAGAGCAGCAGTCCAGTTCATACGGAGCAGCAACCAGTCGCTGACGGGAATGGCTCTCACTCGCTGCAAAGTCAGCTTGGATATTAACCCGCATCTGTGTGCTGAAAAGTTCCTTCTTGTCCTTTTGACTCAATCCCTTGGCTATCCCGTCCCTATACAGTTTACTTCTTTTCCTTCTCTCGCTCCTTTTGCCTTTCCTCAGTTCTTCTGTTGCCTTTCTTTAGCCCAGTGTGATGGCAAGGTCTTGTGCAAGTCAACTATAGAACAGTGGTTTTGGTCTCACTTAATGCAAGTTAGAAATGGGGGACGTGGTTTTTTTTTTCCTATCGTAGGCATCCAGCAATGAAGCTCTGTGCTGCAACTATTCTTGGTAGTAAGAATGCTCTTCTTCATTCAAGTCATCACAGCCTTCTCTGGAGCCAAGAAGTATAAGGCCTTGTGGAAATAATAGAAGCCGACAGTTCCAGAGCTGATAAATGTCATTCCAAATTGCCCCTTCATTCACTTTCATTGTGTGTTCAGGCTAATGGTAAATTAATCAGAGGTCACAGAGGCTTGGTTCTCATAAAGGAGGATAAGTAAACAATTTTCAGCTATTACATGTATTTACAAAATGATATTACTTCACTGTTTGGTCTTCGTATCATTTTTACTTCCGTTATTTCAAAGAGCATTCTCAAATCCTCACTGGAAGTCAATTACATGAAAAATTCAGTCAGGGAGTTTAGAAATCCTACATTGGATCATGAGTTGATAATAATTTAAGTAATTTCCTTTACCACAGTGGAACTACACTAATTTATTCCATAGGAGTCTAAAAAATATCCGGGAGACAGGTAATAATATACAATTGTGTTAAGTGTGAAGATGACTGCTAGGATCTTCAGTCCTATACTCAGTGAGCCTTTTTACACTTTTTACTATCTGCAGACATAAATTCAAAATTCTCTGTTCTTCCAGTTTAAATCAAGAACTGTACTGTCTTCATTCTTGATTTGTGCCTGTGTAACCACAAGAAGAAGTAGGTGTTGGCCAACCTTTATTTTTAACTATAAAATCTCCCAGCTAACATTCTGCCACATTATAGATTAGCAGGCTTCACTCTCAGTTATATCAAGCCTGCGTATGAGTGCAGCATGACAGCTAGGGCAAACAGAAGTAATAAAAAGGGAAAAATAGATGTAGCATGTTCACTCCAGGTAGATGGTATCTTTCAACAGCCAGGAGATTCGATTTTATACAGTGGGATCACAGAATCTAGAACTACTCCCTGCACTTAGTTTTCATTAGAGAAAGCTCAGTATTGATTGGTCCTTGCCTTTTTTGACATGCAGTTATTCTAAGATGCCATTGATAAGGGATTTCTTTTCAAGCCAGTATTTTTTAAAGAGTTAAACAAAGTCAAACAGTTATTTATGTATCAGCCAAAACGATTAATGCTTAGACCAGAGGATGTTAAGACCCAAAAGGCTTGTAATAATATAAACACAGATGTGACGATAGTAAAATATGATCTTGATTAAAGGTTATGAAATGTTTTCTTTAAAGTAGTACATTTGTCTAACAAAACAAAGCACACACAGAAAAAATAAACGTAGAGAATAAAGCATAAGCGAAAACACACGACGGAAGCCTCATAAAGCAAGTACCCACGGCAAGAGCAAAGCATTGGTAAAGAGATTCCCAACCCCTGTACCACAGCAGTGTCAGAATAGTCGTCATTTCAGGGGGAACTGGTGGTGTGCTTCCCAAGATTGGAAGACTGACATTAACCAAAACTTTGGAGCTCGGGGAACTTTAAATTCTTGATTTGCTCTAGATCTTTTTCCCCAGCTGATCTCTAGACATATGAGGGAAGAAGTAAGAACCCTCCACCTACACCCGAATTTGAAGGGTAAACAAAATATTCAAGAGCTGTATGCCGCAGCTTCACTCAAGCTGGAGCTGTAGAACTCTGAGATTTTATACTTGAGCATCACACATCGGAAATCCCCAAATATACGTGCCTGACAAGCAACATTTAAGCAGAAATACTGCTGGTAAGTTGAGTGTGTATCACACTGCTTTTATAAGGTATGTACAGTCCATTGAAAAGGTAAAATGCTAGGTAAACACAAAGTGCTTGTTAATATAGGAGGAAAAAATGCAAGAGAGGGAAAAGGAAAGGATTTGGTCGCGGTCACACAGTAACGCAGCAGCAGAGTTTCAGACAGAACCAGGAATTCTGACTCGCAGTCACCAACGTTACAAACAGTTCGCTGAAATGGTGTCTTTTCTAAATCCTTCAATCATGCTGTCTCGATTTACTTCCTCCTAAGATAAAAGGTTAATTTATCTCTATGGAGAATGGATATGGAAAAAGAAGAGAACAAAATCTGATTTTGACAATCTCACCAAACGGTTTATTAAAAATGGCACTATTTCAACACCAAGAGCTGAATAAAAGATTGATGGCCCAGATGAATGAACCAGTCTCAGAGAAAGACTAAAAAGGGTGGTAGTGGGGAAGAACCCAGACGATTCATTCGGATATCATAATCTCACTTCTTTTCACATATTTTAAAGATTAGAATACTATTAAATACAGTTACTGAATTATTGTCCTGTCATTTAAATCCAAGTGCTGTATCCCACTGTGGCACACACTGAAGGTCCAGGTTGCATGGTTTATTACAAAATCATGAACTACTCTGTGTATCATCTGACTGGCAATACAAATGTGCTTAAATGACCTGGCATAAGCACAGCCTAGCATGCTCTACTAAAGAGGCTTTTCATGACCTCTGGGAACACATTCGCCACATCTTGCTGCCTATTTAAATGACCTT